TTCGTGCTTTGAACTTGTATAGGTGTGTAAGAGGTATAGCAACATAGCATTTATACGGACCCAGGGTAGCTACAATTCTGTTCCCAGGTATCGCGCGCATGAGGCTTCAAAGCTGTGTTTTTCAAGCTAAGTTCAAGGTGGCCTGAGACCAGGGCTTGCTGCCCTAAAACACTCTGTTCAGGCCACCTTAAAAATGAAGGTCTGCGAAGCGAGAGCAAAGGATGCACATTGTCCTTCTGCTGCTTGAATGTGGCCTTTTGTTTACTTAAAATTTCAAGACCTCCCTGCTGTTTCCACCTCTTCGCTTCCCAGTCTTCCCAGGGTTCATATAGGGAGCCAGGCCATTTTCAGAATCTTATGGATTTGAGCTGTTCGAGTTCCTATTGAAGGGTATCGTTGGCGAGTGCGTCACCACCCGCTCCAAAAGCATCAAAGCATCACCTCCCAGAATTTACGTATATCTTTCTCGAGCCACACATGCACAGCAAGCCACAGCTTTGAAGTCTCATTCGTGCTTTGAACTTGTATAGGTGTGTAAGAGGTATAACAACATAGCATTTATACGGACCCAGGGTAGCTACAATTCTGTTCCCAGGTATCGCGCGCATGAGGCTTCAAAGCTGTGGATTGCTGTGCGTGTGTAGAGGTTATCGAGCGGTTGACGGAAAGGGAACTTGAAGTATACTCTACCTGGTAGCTGCACTATAGCTACCCCGGATCTATACCTGGCAAGGTGCCAACTACACCTTTCCATTCAGATGATGCAAATTGCATTTCTTGCATCACCACCCCTCAAAAATCACCTCCAACATAACCTCAAAAAACCATCCCTCGACGCACCCTCCTCCCCCAGCATGTGCCGAGTTTACGTGTGCCTTTTGCGGGCCACCCGCCCCAGACCCCCTAACTACTCACTTCGTTCGCCAAACACAACTCAGCTAGCGCCTTCTACGAAGGCTGGCTTTCGTAATATGGCATACATGGAGTGTCTTGGGTATTTTTTGGCAATGGGATGCACTAGGGAACCATCACATTTGTCTACTTTCTGGCAATACAGTTCTCGTACTTGCTCTTATTATAAGGACAGGCAGGTGGCAAACCTGACTCCCTCCGGTTAGCTGAACTTTCCACCCGTTCTCATGGAAACCAACCAAGAAGGCACAGGTTGCCCAGGTTGCACGTCTCCCGTGAGAATGGCATGCCGCACACTCCTACAGCACTGGACTGCCCATCAGGCCAAGAGTGGTGCCAGGGGGGGCCTTTATGGCAGTCCCAGAGAGGTCGTGTCTGGGGCACTTCTAGCCGTTTCCGGTCCAAACCATCGGGGAGTCACTCCTGGGACTTAGTTGCGCGCGCGCGAACACGAGCGTTCGGGGGGTCACGACCTGGCGCCGTCCACCCGCCTGGCGTGGGACTCGGCGCGCTTTGCCAGGTTTGGGCCTCGGTGCTCCGTGCGGACTCGTCTGACCCAGAACCTGGTCCAAGAAATGTCCTGAAAGCCTTACCCTAGGCTTCCAACCACCATTAATTTAATAGGCTTTGCTGAATCAACTAAGGGTTTTACACTACAAAAACCAGGTGAACCCTACACCGACTTCGTCGTACGTCCTCAGGTTCGGTATGACTGGACGTACCTCCCAGGCACCCGGGCCGGTCGTCCCACCGAAGCTCCGAAGGTACGACTGGAGGGTTATTGCACATGTCTGGCATGTCTTGAACCCTAGCCTTCAAAGACCAAAGAACGGTTGAGCTGGTGGTGTAGTTTAAAAATCCTTAGTAAAACAATGGTTCTTTGGTAAAGACCATTAAAACAATGGTTGTTTGAATCCTAGGGTGAATATTCTAATAAGATGAGGTCCGATGGACCTTTTCGGGGGGAATCTCTTCGCAGGCACCCAGGTCCAACTGTGCATCCTTCGTACGAAACTGTCTCCTCAGTTGGCCATCCTTGCTGCCATCCTTCCAAGTCCACTCTGAGTACACCCCTGGAATCATCATGGTGTCACGGAGGAGTTCACCATCAGCTGAACTCATGTTTCTTGCGATGGCCAACGGCAGTGCCTGTCACTTGCACTAATTCCTTTTTTTCAATTGCACAGGACCTGTTTCCAAAATCATGTCCCATTGTGGCGTTTTGGTCAAAGCCGGCGAAGTGTAACTCTTCGGAAAATGGTCCTTGTTGGGGCCATCCACGTAGTTGTTGGGGCCATCCACGTAGTCGTTGGGGCCATCCACGCACTCCCTTTCTCGCTCAAACCACCGTCTTTCATCCGGAGTTGCAGCTCGTAACCGGACCCATGAACCGGTGTTCATCCGTTTTCACCCAAACTTTCGGGGATCTCCACCCAGGACACTGGGCATCTTCCGCTTAGGCCCATCCCGCAGGTTCCTCGTGTTCCGCCCTAGAGGCCCTTCGCACAAAGCTCGGTCGTGCGGAGCTCGGCGTGGTGCTCCACGTCTGGGCCCGACCATAGCCCGGCCGCCACATCGGCGGCGGGTGCGTCAACGGCGGCATGCCCGGCGCCTGCAGCATGTGCGGTCCAAGGCGATCGCTCTTGGGCGAGATGGCTGCGGAGTGGTGACGCATGGGTTCGAAGCGCTGAATCCATGAAAACTGGAGCTGGATTCCATGCCCTAGGGATCCAAGTACCTCCTCAGAAGGCACTTGGACCCTCCAAACCTACAGTGTCTCCGTCCTCACCGTACCTGAGGTTGGGTACGACTGGATTTCTAGGGATGGATGGTTGAGTTCAAAACGCCAAACGCTCCGTTCCATCAACCCCGATGCGATTGTTCCAAAGCCGGTTTGACCCCCGCTTCGAGGATCTGATCCCTGATTCGGGTCCAGGAGCAGGGCCAAGGAAGCTTCAGTCGCGCAAAGAGTGGAACCAAATGACTTCCTTCGCTGCGTGTCGGGAAATGGACACGTGATATACTGCCATATCCCAGACACGACCTATGGGACTGCCATATATATGCCGATCAATTGACCCCTCTGGCACCACCCCAACTGATCGGCATTTATGGCAGTCCCATGGAGTGTCTGGGTATCAGAAAAGGCCAGGGGTAGTGCCAGGTCGTGGTCTTTCTGGGGTGGCAGTCCTTATTCCAGACAGGTCGTGTCAGCGAGATCACCTCACTGCAGGTGATTGGGGGCGGGTCAATTAGTTCAGAACTCCTTCGGGTCTCCGTTGGTCTCGCAGCCGCAGCCCGAGTCTGGGCCTCGTGGATTCCTCAGGCGCACACCCTCCGCACCGAGCGGCGACCCATCGTGGACTGGCACCGCGTGGAACAGCGACAGGGGCGTGGCGTCGACCTCGGAACTGGTCACCTCCATCTCGGGCTCAGGCTCGGCGGTCTCCTGGGCGCCGAATGAAGCCGGGCCCCCACGAACTGCGAGCGTTCGGCTAGGTCCCTGACTGTGGTCCAGATGTAGGGCTCGATGTAGGGCATAGGGGATGGTTGGAGGGGTCATAATTGCTAGGGATCCAGTGGTACCTCCTCAGGTTCGGCACAACTGGACCCGACCCAGGCACCGTCTCATGTCACAGTGGAGACAACACCTCACCGTACCTGAGGTACGGCACGACTGGATCCCTAGCAAATTAGCCCACAAATCCAGACTGAGATGTGTTGTTTTCGATGACCTAAGTCCTGACCGAGATCAAATCAGGTCTGTTCCTCCTATAAGTTCACCTGAAATGGACGCGTTTGTCAAAAGGCGCAGCTTATTGTGGACTTTGGGATGTGTATTTATTATTCTTTTTCAGGGTTCGGGATGAAACAGGTACACTCCAAGTCACCAAAATGGATGAACGTGGCTGCAAAAAGCCACATTCCTCTGCAAACAGGTCGTGCCATTGACTTCCAGGTTCTTGAGTCTTGCAACTTTACCCAGTGCATCCCAGGCAAACCACTATATAAGGAACCAGGGATGCTAGGTCGTTTTAGTCTTTGGAACCAACTGGTTACCAGCTATAGTGGTTTGCCTGGATGCATTGGGTTAGCTATTCGACTTCACAACCAACAGCTTTCTGCAAGGGGCACCTGCAGGGTTCAGGTGTGTGACACTGCACCCCTGCAGGTCCAGTCTGCAAAAGCAGGTTCAAAACCTTCCAACTCCACGACATATGAGGTCTGTGACTTGGTGGTCCCAAAATACATGACCGTGGCACGTTTTCCAATCATGCATTCTTAGGGAGGATCTACTTGTCCATCTTCTTTGAAGGTCTTTTCGTAGGCTACGCTTGAGAACTTGGATCCTCGGTGCTTTTTCTGGTGGCATCGATGGTCCACCAAAGCCAGGTCCAGTCCAGTGACACCCTCGATCGAAAACGAACATCCTCCATGAGCACATCAGGCCTGTCAGGGTCCCTGGCTTGCTTGCTTTGATGGGTTCTTTTGGGGCCCCTCGTGCTGCGGCCCTCGCGGCCCGGTGACCGCCCGCGCGTGGCGTCCAAGGGGCGGAGTCGCTCTGGAGGGACTGGGCGGGCGCCGGGTCGTCTGCCTGCGACCCAGGGAGTCCCGGAGTCGGTGAGAACGACCAAGCCCTGGGCCTTAAGGCCAAACGAGGGCCAGTCCCCGTATATAGTGCTGGGAGCTTCACAAACACCCCGTGAGCTGCCGACCTTCAAATAGTGTTTCTGCGTGGTGAAAGTAGGGCACCTTTTTGCTTACATGGAGTGTCTGGAAGAGAGGGGATTCGTTCAGTCGATGATTCGGCATTTGACAAAACAATGACAATACGTAAGTACTTGCATTCAAATCAGCCAAAAACCGCTTTTGCCCGGATTGCTTTTGCATTTAGACGGGACATCTCTGGGCTTTGTGTGGACATCCCTGTCTTTTTGCTGGAATTTCCCAGATCGCCATGGGACTGGCATAAGTTGGTATATATATAATACATATAAAACTATAGAATTTCACTTGGTTTCAACAGTCAGCCTCTCGGAGCCCATGGAACCATGGGATCTCTGCTTTGATCGGCAAAAAAAAGAACCAACGTCTTTTGAGTGGTTGGTGATCCAAAGGCCTTTGGACTTTGGGCGGCTCCAAGCCGCCTGGCCAGCCTGGCCAAAAAGACTTGATACGGACGGTCCCGTCCTCAAATGCTTGCATATTTACAGTACCTACATGTTGACCCCAGTCACCCACCCCAATGTACCAGGACCTTCCAAGATAACATATATATATATATAGAGATGGCCCCTTAGTCTAATAGGAAGTAAAGAACCGCCTGTTGGAAGGTCCTGGTATATGCCCACATTGACTATCATTGACCCCTGAAATCAACCAGTTCTGCCCGCTTCTCAACCAAGGTGTGCGTCCCACTGGGTTTCAAGTCCCAGTCTTTCAACCAGTCCTGTCAGTGCTCGGTCTGCCCCAAGGTTGGTCCCGCCTGGGCCTGTCGCGTGTTGCGGGCGATTTTCCGGTTCATGCCTCGGCACGGAGACGCTCCGAGACGCTCCGAGACACTCCGAGACGTCGGAATCCAGACGAAGGAGCCCTGCTATGAAAAACAACTAGAGATCCTAATTCTCAAACAGTCCATGGGACTGGCATGCTCACACCCCACATGATCTACCTTTTCCCGTTTTTCAGTTCGTCCACTCTTCATGTTTTTGAGTTCTTCTATGTTTTTCCAGTTGGCCAGTTGTGTTTCTGCACTAGGTTTCCTCTGTGTGGAATAGATTGTTGCAATACGTTGACGAGATTTAAGCAGTGAAATCAAAAAGTCAACAAAATAACTTAAAAGGGAATCAAAAGACATCAAAAGGAACCTAAAGGATAATCAGCAAACAAACAAACAGAATTCCAAAAGAGGGAACTCACACATAAAAATAAAGAACTATGAACAGCGCAAATCTGATTGCAGGGGGTGTCTTCATTAAAACCAAACAGGGCAAACACTATTGTTATAGGGGGTTGAAATATGTAATTAAAGAGCTCTAGTGTACTGGGCCAACCCCTCTGTGGAATACATGTTTGCATTAGATGATATATTATATGAGGGTTTAACAGGAAATTCACAAACAATAACTTAAAATGCAATCGACAAAAACCAAAGCGATTTCAATAGGAACCAACACGAAGACAAAGGAGCTCAATAGGTAATCAATGAAAACCACAAGGAGGTTTAACAAGGAGCTGTTCAAAAAAGAATTCACAAATAAAGAAAAACACAAACAACATTGCGGGGGAGTGTTTTGAAAGGTCATACCAGGAGCAAAGTGCAGATAATGTTTGAGAGGGTAATATCACTGCAAAATGGAAAAGTGCAAGCCAAGGGGTGTTAGTATTAATGTGAAAAGGGGCAAACATTAATTAGAGGGTTTTCTGATTCAAGTTTGCAAGCGTACTGAGCTAACCCCTTTGTGGAATAGTTGTTTGTCATACTTTTGATCAAACATAAAATGTGAATTATATACGTACAAGAAATTGATGAAGTAATTTAAAGCGAAATCCAGAGGAAAGGAGGTCAATCGAAAATCAAAAAGAACCAAAAGGAATTGTGAAAGGGATCTTACATGATCTTACAAATAAAGAAAAAAACACATGACAAGTGTAGACGTGACTGTAGGGCCAGGGCTGTTATTGTGAAACACTGGGCTAACCCAAACAGTTTAAAGAGTTTAAAAGGACATCAAAAAGGCCTCAAAAGGAATTTGAACAGACATCAGTTGGAATCACAAAGAATGTAAACGGAAATCGTTCGAATTCTAAAGGATTAGTGCTACAAACTGGCTGTTGAAGAATATATATATATATAACAACTTATACGTGTTAAACCTGCTAAAACACATTATTAAGATACATGTTTGTCAACAACGACAAAACAAAAACGAACACAAATACACAACAAACAAACAAAACCAACACAACACTATTGTTCGGGAAGTTTGGTTTCATGTTTAAGTTTAAACAATTGTTTAAAGGGGGAGGTGGCTTTATGTCTTTTAGACTTCCTTTACTTATCACTTTTGAAAGACACAAAACGACATATAAATATACATACTGATACGTATTGCAATCTTATTGGCAATCTTAGACTACAAACCAATAGGCAACAACAAAAAAAACAGAAAACCAAAAAATCTGAAACCAAACTTCCCGAAACATATTTTGTTTTGTTGATTCTTTTTGGTTTGTGGTCAACAAAATTATAGTGCTAGGAGGTTTTTGCGAACTTTCCCTATATATACAAAATATTGGTGTTTGAACCGTGGTATTAAAAGCATGTTTTCAACACGTCTTTATAATTTATTGAAAACACATTTGTAGTCGTCAGCTAGTGCGGAGCACTGATTTCTGATATGGTAAAAACAGCACGTTTGCATGGGCAGGCCAACAGAAAACAGCTCTAGGTATAGAGAGATAGGGTGGACATTGGGGTGGTTGATTTGGGGTCAATGCAGGTCAATATGCCAGTCCCATGGAGTGTGCGGGATTTGACTCTGCAGCACACTGAAAGCATCAGGAAATGGACTGACTCAAATCATCAAGGTATGTCTCATTACGTAACAGTGGATGATGATGATGATGATGATGATCAGTAAAGGCCTTTCTCAAAAATCGTGATCATCCTTTACTGACAGCTACTAGTAATGGGCCAACACACTAAGTCAAACCAGTTCTTCTTTGCCGAAAACCGGGTGGTCGACCTTCCTTTGGTCTTCGCCCGTTCATTCATTCTCCGCGAGTCCGTCGCCAGCCCCGGCTTCATGGGGGGACTAGCAGTTGTACATACAAAACCCATACCAGGACCCTCCTGTCGGGGTGCCCTGTCTGGAAGCCTATAGGTAGTCCAGCCAGGACACCCCGACAGGAGGGTCCAGGTACACTCCATGTATGCCATAGGCAGTCCCATGGAGCGTCTGGGAAATTGAACCTCCAAATCAACCACCCCCAGCTTAGGGTGGTTGATGGATACCCCTTAGCCTCTAAGGAGCTATAGTTAGACACCCCGAAACGGGGGCCCTGGCCCTGGCCATTTCTCGGTGGATGTTCAGAGCCGAGCGGCGCTTGCGACGGCCGAGCTCGCCGTGGGGGCAGAGGTGGCAGTGCCTGCGGCGAAACTGGGACCCCCGGCTCGGTGTTCTAGGCGGTAGGGCGGTAGACGTGTGGTGAAAGAACCCAGACACTCCATGGGACTGCCATATATGCCGATCAATTGGGGTGGTTTGAGGGGTCAATGTAGGCATATATGGCATACATGGAGTGTCTGGGGAAGGTCAATCAAATCACAATCACATGTTTTGAAATCAATCCCAGACACGACCTGGCTGGGACTGCCATAGGACTGCCGATCAGTTGGGGTGGTGCCAGAGGGGTCAATGGATCGGCAGTCCTATGGCAGTCCCAGACAGGTCGTGTCTGGGAATCCTGTAGATGATAAGCGCAGATCCGCAAAGGATGACACGCACAAATCATGAAGGGTACCCAATTCGGACGCCATGTCCAGATGTGATGGACGCGTGGAACGGACTGGCATCCGCCGGAAAGGAGGGGGGGGAACTGGGGAACTACTACAGCGTGCCATCAAAGACTGACTGGTGCGACTCGTAGGGAATAAGGGAAGGAGCTTGCCCCCCCAATAGAGATTCCATTGGATCCAGCCGGATCCATTCCCTGCGTTCGTCGCACTGCACCAGTCAGAAGAGGTGCAACCGACGAGACCCGGCGCTTCGGATCTGGAAGGTTGACATGTTCGACCCCAAGGACCGGCCGATGACAGCATCTGTAGCACCCTGCTCGTCCTCAACGGCGTCGACAGCACGTACCACCAAAGGCCTTTTGTACTCATAGAAGCTCTCTGGCAAAAGCTGTGCAGCTTCTCTGCAGTAGTCAAGCTTGAGATGTCGATTTGCTGATGTTCTTCCAACATCCCAAACACTTCGCCCACGTGGAGGTTGATGGAATAATCCAAAAGGATCTCTCCTGCCTGAGCACTAGTGCAGGAAGAAGAACAACAATAGTGCAGGACCACCACCATACATGTTCTTTCTTTCTGCGCGCCTAGTGCCTCACAGAGGCTCTGCACCTTGCTGGCCGAATTCTGAATTAAGGGGGTAGGAAGAAGTCAGGCCTGGGAGCCTTTAGCTCTTTGATTATATTTATTTATGTGGTGTTACAATCTTATGTTCTTCATCTCTTATGCTTATAAGGATTTAATTTATGTCTCTTCTTGGTCATCATCAGATTGAACAAGTTGTCGCACCCAACTCATTCCCCAGCCATCTGACGCGCCACCGCTGCGGTTGCTGTTGGCTAGCCACCGCTGTGTTTCAGTTCCGCCGCAAACATACAGAACTTGGGCAGGTGCTCTTTCAAGCGGTTGGTCCGCCATCCATATCAGACATCCCAATCGAAGTTCCTTTGGAATAGACCGGGTCTCTCATTCTCATCTGTAATCGCAGTTCACTGCCTCCTGTTTGGAGACTCCCGCCAAAAGCAAACAGGTCGGCCTTGGACTCGACTGTCCATAGAATCTCTGGCAGACGCTCAACAAACAAAAAGCTCCAGTTTGCATGAGCCACTGTCAGTCCAGGAAGCCACCCATCACTTCCTCCTCGCCCTGAGCAGCTGGAGGATACCCTCTCCGTTCTCATGTCCTGCCACGAATGGACCAAGATTCCCAGACACGACCTGTGACTGCCATAGGACTGCCTTCGAAACGGGCGTTCGGGGTGGTGCCAGAGGGGTCTGGCTGTTTCTCGGCAGTCCGTCCTGGCAGTCCCAGATCCTCAGCCACTCCGTCGCACTCGGCGCATCGCCAATTGGGCCGAGAATGGCATCCCCCGGGTCCGGTGAAGGGGTCCGGTGAACAGCACTGGTAGCGGCCAGGGGTACCGGCCGTTCAGCCGCCGGGCACCATTGAAATTCTGTGACCGATACGCAGAATCGAAGAAACGCTGAATGTCCACCCCGTCACTTCCATCATATGATGCGACCACTCGGCTGAGATGAACCAACCCAATGCAGGCCCCAGGGCCGAATGGCTTACTTGGAAGCCTGGGTCTGGTGGTCATGCAACGCATGGCTCAGTAGCCATGGGGTACTGTAGGATAAGCTTTTAAAATCGACAGGGCACGTCGGTCTGTGAACGCTCGCCCGATGAAATGTCGCAAGAACAGAAAGCCTTTGTTCCTTTTCTTTCCGAGGTCCGGGACCTGGGAAACAAACTTTCACTACTTTCCACTTGCTCTGGATCCAAGACCTCTATAGCGCCTGGCAAGCGACAGAAAGCGAGCTCTCTCCTTCGAGCAAGCTGCCGGGCCAGCTTTCCCTGGGTGTGTGGCCTTCTGACTGCTGGCATGAGCCAAGGTGCTACGCAACCAAAAAGCCACAGGCAGCAAACTCAAAGGGAAGCAGCCTCTTCAGAGAGAAGCCTGGCACATATGCCAGAATCCAATTCCTGCACAATCCAAGAGAGCATTAACCACCACTTCTGCTATCTGCAACACAGAGGCTTGCCAAACATCCCTGGAACCTCTCTCATATAGAGCAGTTCGGTTCCTTTCCTTTCCATTTCAGAACGGCGCAAAGACTTAGATCTCATTGCAAAGACTGTCTGTCAGCTGCAGAGAAGCAGTCATCTTTGGTCAGAACCACCCCCCGACAAAAAAAAAAAAACAGAACAAGCTACCACCAGCGTGCGCAAAACAGTGTCTTTGTGAGCATCTGTCAGCTGTGAGCATCTGTGACAGCATCTGCCTACAATCAATACAATTCTTAAAGCCAAAAAAACAAAGTTCAGACCTATGTCTCCTGTCCAGCCTCTCCTGGGTATCTCTCCATGGGTCTGAACTTTTTTTAGAACTAGAATTGGCAACCCCTTTGAATTCAATATTTAATATGTTTTAAATTTTGAAAGGTGATAGTTGGTGACCAGTTTTTTCCTATGACTGCTTGTTTTTGTTGTCTACATGTAATGCTACATCTGGAATTCATTTTGTTCTAAAACCTGGGCATAGGACACAGAGATCAAATCAATCTGACAAGGCGTGTTCGTCCATGTGATAAATTTTGTTTGACAAATTTTTGTGTAGATACCAAAGCAGCGCTCTTCTGGCGAAGCATGAAAAAGTGCACGCTCACAGTGGCCAGCGCACACACACAAAAAATAGTTTAAACAAATAACGGAGAGGTTGACCCCACGTTTATTCATACGCATCTATCATTAGGGCCCCCTTTTGTAGCTCTTATTGTCAACACAACATTTGGAGCACCTAGGGGGAACTCAACATCGTCAATAGTTGCACGTGACTCATGTTTGAGCACACGTATCGAAGAAGGCTGTGCGGGAGCCTTCTTCAACTCCGATGGTGATTGCGCGTGAACTGTTTGGTGAGTATTTCGGTGAGTATTTCTTCATTCATGTCCTCTCCTTCCACTCAATGGAGCCAACATAAAATAAAACATAGAACATTAATCCCCTTGGATATGCCTGAAACAAAATCCATCATAATGTAGACTCTTGATCACAGTGCAAGACCCCAAGCCTGATTTCAGGTTCCACGCTGTTTTAGAATACATGTCTGCGGGGACGTTTTCTGAATCAAAGGAGTCTACATGATCATGCCGTTGTCCCAATCATTCATCCAAATTCAGTCCTAAACGGAGCGTCTGGGACTGGCACATCTGCCGAGAAACGGGCGTTCGGGGTGGTGGTTTCAGGGGTCCATATGGGTCCATGGGGCGGCACATCTTCCAATCCCACGGAGCGTCTGGGACTTGCAGAAGAAGCACAGGGGTGAACGCCTCCACCGGCCAGTCGCTGTGGCGACCACCACTCCGAAACAGGCGCTGAGATTGACACCAGGTGAGGTGACTTCACCATACCAAGAGAGGTTGAGAGGTTGAGACCAGGACCCTGTAGTGTGTATACATTATGGGATGGGCGAAAACGGGGCTGGCCAACCTTTCGCCATAGGGGCCCCACCAACGCCGAGAACGATCGAACTTGCTTCGCCCCCGACGCAAACCCGTGACTGCCTGCACTGGGCGCCATTCATGCATCCTGGGAGCGCCGAACTGGAATTTGGGAGGTTCGACCGATCTGGAATCCCTTGGGGAAGGGCTCTGAGTCCGGAGTCTGGGATCAGCTTGGGGGTTCGATGGTGGAAGTAGGACCCTTTGGAGGCTGTTCGGCTGTTTGGAGCCAGAGGATGAACTAAAAGCTTTGAATTTGTCCAGACTACACACCCCCCACGATGCTCGAAACCACCACGGGGCGCCACCCGATCCTCGGCGACTCTGAGAGACTAGACCTGACGTGACGTCGTTTTTTCAACGATTCCTATACCCCTCCCGATGCGGCACCTCTCCGTCCAAAGCGATCGAACTCCACCTGTTCTATATCTATACTCCGAGAGGTCCAATCTCCCCAAAATGACCCGTTTTCCCGGTGATCACTTTCTTCGGATGGTCTAAAGGACGATTTGTTCTTCTCTTTAAACGTGCATACTGCATGCAGATCTAGAAGATGGTGTGTTTGCACCTTTGAGTGACACCTCTTTGGCATGGTCTAAATCATGCACGCTTGCTCCCACAGCTAAAGCCCTCAAGCACCGAAATCCTCCGTGCTTTGCCACTGGGATCATTTGCGCCCAAACGCGACCCCGTTCGGCCCCGAATCCTCTTGCAGAGGTCGGACCCGAATCCTCTTTTTGGGGGTCGGACGGGTCTCAATTCCGGTTTTGAGGGACCAAGGACTGTGAACGGAGAGTCTGGGCAAAGCATTATTCTCGTTGGGCTCCGAACGCCCCACCTCCTCAGGTTTGGTAGTGGTCGACCCCACTGGCACCCACCCCAGTCCCACCGGTCACCGAAACGGAGGTGGGCGGTTCGGAGCCCCAAAAAAATGATGGAGAAATGGTGATGCCTGGCAAAGGAATCTGTCTCAAATGGCACCAAGGATCCACCCCTAGGGATCCAGTCGTGCCGAACCTTCTCAGGTTCGGTACTTGGAGGCACTGTTATGTAGATTTGGAGGGTCCAGTGGTACCGAACCTGAGGTTCGGTATGACTGGATCTAGGGCAATTGCATGTTGGAGATTACCTGGAGTCGACCCCTTCTTAGCTCTGAAAAGCAGTACAGTCGTACCTCTTGGTTATAGGGGACTTTGTCTTTGTCCCATGTTTTAGGGGACTGTGGAGGGTCCAGGTATTCTCTCTTAACATGCTGATGGTGTTCATTCCTTTTCATGCAGCCCAGCCGGCGATCATCTCCCAAGCTCCGGCTGGATGACGCTTATAGAACACCAGGACCAGCACAGGTACCAGCACCCGACCTGGGAAAACATCAAACACCATGGAACTAATGGACACATACCAGGACCCACTGTCAGGGGGGTGGTGGACACCCCGAATCACATCTTTTCGGGGCGATCAATAGAAGCCGTTTCTGGCCTTACTACTAGGAGCAAGGACGCTACTAGGGGTTCCTGGTATGTCATCTTCCCCCCCCCCCAAAAGGGGAAGTTCACCCCTTCGGGATAATCACCACATCACCCCTCTTTCTCAAACTGGACCAGCACGGAATCAGTCAGCGCGCCTCCGCGTCTCCACCGCGTAGAGACGTCGCGCGTCGCGCGTCTCGACGCCTCCAGGTTTCCAGTACCAAGCACATGGCTTGCAAAGCCCGACCCTTGGTGGACGATTTCGCTGGTCCAGGTGGCACCCCTAGGGAAGTGGCACCCCTAGGGATCCACCCCGAAAAAAGGGCTCCATCCTAGAAGGTGGATGGAGTGGGTGCCAAGGGGGGCTTCCAAGCAACCTAATTCTAGTTGTTAATTGCTTTAGTAAGGACTCAGGACTGTACACTACACCAGGGCGTTCCCACTTGAAAAACATGGTTGACTGGACTTCCAGGGTATCTCGACCTACTTTCACAGGATCGGGTGCCCCGATCACCGGCCCGATCACCTATGGATTCCCGAACCGGAACGTTCCGGGATTACCATACGGTACGCCTCTTCTTTCGCAGGTGCAGTCGACCTCATTTCACTGGAGTCATGCCCAAATTACGCGACAGTACGTACTGTACCAGGACTTTCCCAACAGGTGGTTTTTGGACACCTCCTAACCACCTGAAAAGGCTTATAGAATTTTATAGACACCTCTTGGTGGGCCTGGTACAAGCGGGATTGAAACGGATCAGGCTTGGACCTGACTCAGTAGGGTCTGGGGTGCCAATGGGTGCCACCCACGCACCACAATCCGAGCCGGGTGACACGACCAACGCGGGTGAAGCAGTTCTGCCCCGCAGGTCGGAGTTGAGTGCTATCCATGTTAGGAAGGAATTGGGTGCCCAGCTATCCCAGTTTTTCGGGACTAAACACCACCCCTAGCCCTTGTGACTCCTGGTTCATGTTTGCTTTTCTCCCATCTCTCATGTGAGGGAGGCATATGAAGGAGATAAGAACATGGGCTTTGGATGAATTCGCAGCTGTAGCGACCAAAGAGGGTTCCTACGACGCTGCCACGATTCGGGTGGGTCTTCGATCTCTGGATTCGCAGCTCCCATGTAGATGGGCTGTCATAGGCTTTAGATGGCTAAAGAGCCTCTGGTCTACAGGTTTTAGCCTTTGGAACCAAACCCAAACACTCCATGTATTCCATATAGACCTATGTTGGGGTGGTTTTGGGGGTCAATTGATCGGCAGTCCTATGCAAGGACCACACGTCTCCCACCTGACTCTACCATGGTCACCTCCTAGGTCCGAGGCCATACGACTCGGGGTGGTCGTTCTGAACTCAGACGCTGCGGACACTGCTCGGCTGCGCCCAGGAACCGGTGTGATGTGGAACCGATGGAATGTTCACCCTCATGGTCTGTGTCTTCAGCCTTCTCAGCCCTGCAGCGCATCTCGATGGAGGGCCGATGTGACAGCCCTGCGTGCTTCGACTCCTTTTGAGAGGCTGAGTGACCTCCGTTTTGGACCACTAAACATGGTCTTTTCATGTCTGTTCCACTCGAAGGTGCGGCTGGGTTCTAGGTATTCACACTGCAACAACCACACGAGCGGATGGAGAACGTCCAGGAACCGGGAATTCAACACATGATTCCCCAGGAACCGGGGATTTACCCATCCCTAAGAATCCGGTTCGCAACACATCGGGTTTGGTTGGGCCGGGTCCGGACCCCTGCGTGAAACGGTGGAGAAGGTCCGACCACTGCCGAGCCCGAACTGGGTGGTCCGGGTACAGGTCTTCAAGGTCTGGTAGCGACCCAAACGGAGACTGGCCACATACACGTGGAGTGGAGTCGGCTGCGACCTGCCGATCTAGGTTCAGGATTTGCTCATACCAGGGCCCCAGCCCCTTAAAGCTTCAGGGGCGTCCAAAAAACCTGCTGAAAGGTCCTGGTAGGGACCCAAAACATGAAATCATCAAGAGGCGACACACAAACAACGAAACCAACAGGAACTCCACCCGGAAACCCTGGTCCCAACAAAGGTTGAGTGACCATAGACCCGTAACCTGGGATACCTATGGGGGAGTCGAACTGGGGTTCTTCAACCTCTATTGGTTTCACCATATGCGAACCAGACTGACACTTTTGTAGGGTCCCGAACCTCAGGTTTGCTTTGATAGTTGGCCTTCCAAAAACACCACGCTTGGCCGGCTTTTCTCGGTCGACTGGTCCCAAGTGGCTGATACGAGGAGGCGGACTGATTCGAGTCATCTTCCACATCTTCCGTCCTTGCCGCGCCGGAAGGCGGACTGGCTGCGGCTTCGGACCCGGTTCGCCACACCGACACCGGGTCCGAGACTGATGGGACAGTCGAATCTGGCCCCAGGGGACTGGTGGCTTGTGGGTGGGGAATGTATACCAGGACCTGTCGGGGTGGTTGACACCGCTTAACATCTAAGGGGCTATCAATATAGAAGCCCCTGGTCCGGGGGTCCTGGTAACCTGGTATAAGGTTATTTATTTATAAGAGTCACGCACAATATTTCTTATGTGGCTCTTTGCATTGCTAAATTCGGCAGTCCCCGATCGTTTTCCAATGTTCAGGACATTCTACTGCACTAAGTGCAACCCCCTATCCTTTTCCGAGGTTTAGGACATTGTAGCACCAAGTAATAGGTTTTAGTGATGGGATTTTTTGCCTCCATGCGAAAACGTTGCGCTGCTGGCACTTTCGCGGAGGATTCACGAAGAACCAATGTGTGGAGCTGTTTTGTCCTTGTCTCGAGCAGCTTGGTTGCACTCCCGCAGCTAAGCGCACATGTCTTCAATTTCCACTATGTCCGGCTGCTTGGCCCGTGCCCCTTTCAAAGAGAGCAAACAAGCGGTCAGCCTCGCTTTGAAGCGCTTCTCCACTCCGTAATGAACTATCACTTCCGTCTTGTGGCTTGGCATCTGAATGAGATAGTGGAGAGCTTCATAAGCTCTGACATGGGGGGCTGTCTGACATCAGCTCAATTGCTCAATGGTTTCAATCTTCTCCCTTCCACGCCGCTGTGGAGCTGCGAGACAGGAGTGCAAGTGTGATCAAGCACCTCGCTGATGATGAGCACCCATGTCCACAAGACAGCGTCACCCTCCCTTTCGCTAAGAATGGCTCCGAAGACCGATATCTCCTTTCTTGCTTTGGCTAGAAATTCTTCGCCAGACTGGACAGTCCTCAAAGGCAGCCTCACCAGCTCCTTCAAATCCAAGAGGCACCAAATGAGTTGAATCTGGCTTGTTCAATATCTGTGTCTTTCGCGGTCCTTCTAAAAAGGACTTGTTTTTCAGCTCTGTGGAACAAAGAGCTTCGGGCTGTCAAGGTCCACCCCCAAAGACGCGAACAGCTCGACGAACAGGTGCTGTGGACATCCACAGGAAGGGCCGTGTGCCATGGAGCAATCCGCAGAAGTTGCTTCCACAACTGGCATAGACGCATGGATTCTGTTCTGACCCAGACGCGACCTGTCTGGGACTGCCAGGGCGGACTGCCGAGAAACGGCCAGGGGTGGTGGTGCCAGGGGGGTCTGTCTGGGGCGGCAGTCCTATGGCAGTCCCATGGAGCGTTTGGGTGATGTGATGTGAGGTGTACTGCATCAGCTCCCGGAGCCGCTGCCGATGGTCTGGGGCTCCGTCGATGCCTAAACATCTAAGTAGCAAGGCAGGGTCAGGCAGGAAGAAGTCCTCCGAAATGGAACTGTCGAGGATTCCTGTTGGGAATCGTCTAGCTGCTTGGAAACCGCCAGGATCCGCCAGGATTTTGAGACACCACCAGGTGCTTTACATCTGCCCAGACGCTCCAAACAGCCCTTGGTCCCTCAAAACCTAAGGAATTGAGACCCCAGACCCCTCCATATGAGGGTCCCACCCCTCCATATGAGGGCCTATGAGCGTCTGGGTGGTGAAAGTCTTGTATGTTTTGTCGGACTTCTTCAGGCTGGACAAACCATCCTTCTTCTCAGACAGTTTCCTGTTCTACATCGAAAAAAGGGGTGCGGGGTCCCGGTTTCTATGCCCTTTCCATTGGAGAAAAAACTATTTGTTGTGGTAATAATGATTTTGGTCAATAATTGGGTATATAAACAATAAAAAACAATTGGTGATACTCCATGGGACTGCCCATAGGACTGCCGCCCTATGGACCCCTCAAACCCCAACTGATCGGCATATATGGCAGTCCCATAGGTCGTGTCTGGGTTTAGTGGGGAAACCAATCCCCGGGAAGGGTTACACTCCACTGACTTGGTAGGCCCACAAGGGGTGGTTACAGCAATAGACTCACCCCAGCACCTCTTTCCAGCGCCATTCTCACACCAAACGAACCAGGAATTCCTGGCATAGACCGGTCACGAAACGGACCCGGAACAGTTCTGGGCCGATAGCAAAATCCTTACCCTAGGGATCCAAGTACCTCCTCAGAAGGTATGACTGGACTCGACCCTGGCACCTACATCAAAGTGTCTCCGATTACCGAACCTGAGAAGGTATACTTGGATCCCTAGGGTTAGTAAACAATGGGTTTGTTCGGATCAATTTGTCCCAGTCCGACCGCCATCTGGGACTGCGGACTGCCGAGAAACGGCCAGGGTGGGTGGTGCCTGGGGGGTCAATGAGCCAAACAGGTCGTTCCTCCAAACTGTTGGTTGAAAGCCTAGGTATCGTCGAGCTGGAAGCACTGGTTGCCTGCTACAGTATGGGCCCGGTGGCCTTCCGTTTGACTTGGATTTGCTGTCCAGGAAGCTGGAAACATAGAACCTCAGAAGGAGATTTAACCATGGGGAACATATAAAACCACGCAAACCCACCTTGACTTGACCCTTAAGCAACATTTTTCAACGTCTGCTTTGAGCTGGTTTTTTTGCCGTGTCAAACCGCTTATAAATACCCTAGGGCTCCAGTCGTGCCTCCTCAGAAGGTATCTGGACCTTCTGAACCCACCCCAGTCCCCCCTTCTGAGAAGGTACTTGGAGCCCTAGGGATATTGTACCATGTCAAACAGCCTCTGAGACCCACGATGTCCGCCAAGCCACGCTTCGCTGCTCCTCGGTGGGGGCGGTGCACTGTGGCTGCGGGCCGCGAGCCCGAGCCTCTGCGCGGAATGCGCTGCGGTGGCGCTGCGCATTCCGGTGGGATCTGGATAGACGATGTGGGAGATTCTGGGGGTCCCACCATCCAAACCAAGGGGAAATGGACTCCCACCGCCGTCGAAGCAATTGCTTTCATTTCGACCGACCAATGGTCGAACGGAAGGCTAAAGCATAAAACGTGTCATGCATGGTGGTAGTCAATATGGGTACCGGAACGTAGACTGTAGTCCAGTCAGCCCTTGCAAAACCTCACCCTTTTTACTCTGTTGTTTTCTGAAGATCATTGCATCAATCACATCAAACTCACCCTTAACCTCTCCTACCTTTGGCGCCTGCCGCCTGCCCATGCTGCTCGCTATACCTGCCCTGGAGGTGGCCTAGCGATTACCTCCACCTCATCCTTTCCCTCTCCCTATCTCCCACCCTCCGTCAACCCCCACTCGCCGTCTCCTCCTCCCGCTCGTGCCGCACGGTCCTCACCTCGCGCTTCCAACCTGGCCGAGCAGCGAAGTCCGTGGCTCCGAAGGCACGAATTCCAGGAAGGTCTGCTTCACGACCAGCTCGAAGACTTGCTCCTCGGCCCGTCCGGTCGCGGTTCGCTCCGCAGGTGCAGAGTCAGGGGGGTCCGGTCCGGGAGAAAGCGAGCAAGGGCGAGCGAGCGAGCGAGCGAAGCCGGATCCGAGGCCGGCTGGAGTCTCAGTTCGGTCCGGACCGTGAAGTAGTTAACAGTTGTTATGTTGCATGGCTTCAGTCTTCCAACCCTAGGGCTGGCCCATCTCCTCAGGAGGTGGTTAGACCCCCCCAAATCCACCCACCCCTGGCCCATCTTCGAAACGGAGGTGGTTGGAGCCCTAGGGCAAGTACTTGTTCAGAAACTCTTTGGACCCTTCAAGCCCATCCCAAACAGCACGGAGCACGAGATCGCCCGAGGTTAAGGGATGGTCAGCCTGCTATGTTGGGGGCCTATAGGTGTGTCCAGATCCAGTGGACAAATACCGGTCTGCCAAGCGCATGGTCAATCAATATACCCTATAGGGCTCCAACCGCCTCCGTTTCGAAGATGGGCCAGGGGTGGGTGCCAGGGGGGTCTAACCACCTTCTGAGGAGATGGGCCAGGAGCCGGATATGTCAACCTGTTCGTTGGAAGTGGGGAAATCAACTCCCAGACACTCCATGTATGCCATATATGCCGACATTGACCCCTCAAACCACCCCAACTGATCGGCATATATGGCATACATGGAGTGTTTGGGACTTGCTTGGGTAAACGCTCCTACTTCCGATTCCAAGGAGTGCATGGATAGCCGCAGAAGTGCTGGAACGAGTGGCCGAAAAAACCATCGACGTCACTGGAACAATATGCCGATCAAACATGGGATGATCTTAAGATGCTGCTCAATGTTTATATAGGTATATACCTGTAACCATGGATGGTCTGGGTTAGGTATCGTTCCGGAAATCCTCTTCGCTTGAATCATCCAAAGCCTCGCGACGTGTCGTCCCTGAAACAAACACACATTTGCCACGTCGGAGCGACCAAGCAAACCCCAATTTATGCATACCCCTAAGGGTCCAGGACCATCAGAATCGGATGTCCTTTGACCCCCCCGTTCGACCATTCTCTGGAAGCACGTACTCACCTCCGTTCGACCATCCGAAGTACGGAGGTACCTGGACCCGATGGGTACCTGGAACTTCCATAAAGGTCTGTTGAACTACCGACCCCCCAAAATGCAAACACGAGGTTGCAGGTATCGCCATGGCCCGGCGTTCTTTCCATTGGGGATGTACCAGTCCCATGGAGTGGGACCGGGGGACCGGAACTCCTTCAGGCCGTTCCAAGTTCTTCATTCGGGTTCCGGTGATTTTGAACGAAAACAAACATCCTATCCCTAGCCTGAAAAAAAATCTTCAAAAACCAAGAATGGTGGACCTGGTGGTGGTACAACTCCTGAATCCAAACAGGCTTCTTCGGGATGACGCGATGGGGTTCCCAAACCGAGGCGTCTTCTCGGTGCGTTTGGGGCCCCGGCGCGTTCCTGTGCGTCCGCCATCTCGTTTGGCCTCTCGTTTGGTCCCACGGTGACCCGGGGAATCGAAGGGAAATCAGGATTCGGTACGACTGGACCCGACCGTTTTGGCACCTATATGGCCAGACACGACATATCCCAGACACGACCTATGGGACTGCCATATATGCCGATCAGTTGGGGTGGTTTGAGGGGTCAATGTAGGCATATATTGGCAGTCCCATGGAGTGTCTGGGTTAGTGGGACTACCAGGGCGGACTGCCGAGAAACAGCCAGACCCCTCTGGCACCACCACCCCTGGACGTTTCTCGGCAGTCCGCCCTGGCAGTCCCAGACAGGTCGTGTCTGGGTAACATGGCGTCGGTCTCACATCACCGTACCCGAGGTACGGCACGAAAACGGATCCCGAAAGATTCATACGCCAAGTGTGCGGACTGTTACAGGCAAGTGCGGACTGTTACTGGCGCCTCTGGGATAGTCGAACTAGGCTTCTTCCCGTTTGGGCTCCGAACGCCCCATCTCCTCAGGTTCGGTGGTTCGACCCCCCCAAATCCACCCACCCCGAAGAAACGGAGGTGGGCGGTTCGGAGCCCAAACGGGCTTCAACCGGATCCAGGAGGGGTCCCGACACCCGGCCACGACGCGTCCCGGCACGGTCCCACCCGGTGGGTGGGGAGGGTCCAACAGCGAAGGTACGACTGGATCCCGAACTAGGGCTCCCTCAGTTCTTGTTTCTGGTGAATTCGAAGGTTCACCTTTTCCACCCTCAACAAAACACTCCATGGGACTGGACCCCCAAAGGGGTGGGGCTATTCATGGACACCCTTTCCGTGGTGCTGGGGACGGGACTGACATGGAAACTCAAGAAGGTCAGTGTAGGCATGTATGGATGCATGGAGTGTTGTGGACCCCCATCCGTTCGGTTTTCCCTGGCAGGTGATCCACTGACTTAGTTATGGATTGAGAGGAATTAATGGCACAAACCCCAATGTCTGTGGTTTATATGAACCTCCATGTAAAGGACATCTTGAGGTCTGTGCCATCTACTCTGAAACGAGGGGCCGGAGGTGAACACCTCGCCCCCGCCCGGTGTCGGTCGCCGCGGTGTCAGACCACCGACGTCGGTGGACCGGTTGACCAGTCCGCAAGCTCCGCTTCCCAAAGAGGTCCGCGATCAAATGGATGGTTGATGTTGGTTGCACTTGGTAATAAATAACTTCTTGTAAAACAGCTGCAAGAGAGGTTGAAGAATATAGACCATCCCATAGGTAATGTTGGATCACGATTAGTAAAGGGGACTTCTATAATGCTAAATTTTTCCAAAATTATTCAGACCCCCCTGATTGAAAAATGGTACCTCTATAATGCTATTTTTTTTTTGGCCCTAAATCGTTAAATTGGAAACCCAATTAATGAGGGTTTGAATTCCTTCTGAACCCTGTCCACCTGCACTCCCCCTCCCTTCCTTCTGAACCCAATTAAACCCTTTATAAAACATTGCTCCTAAACAAATTTTCAAGGTAGTAGACCAGGAAGGCACCTGATCCTCAATAATAAATTTGTTTT